AGGAGCACAAGTGCTCCTAAAAAGAAAAGTAAGCATCGAGCCCTGTCTCCACCCACTCATTCTCTTTTATTTATATCTTTCACTCTCTCTCATGTCATTCTCCAGCACATTGCACTAGCTGGAGAGCTGGTTTGGTCAGACTGACACAGCAGACACAGATGCCAAACCGGTTTCCTCCATAAATGAGTTCTCTCATGGGTGTGCTTTACAGCCATCCTTGAAATCCTGGCTTTGTTTCAAAGTTGATCCTTTTGTTGATGTTTTGCTTTGTATCATGAAAAATCGAGGCATGTATCAGGGTTGCGGTGGTGTAGAAATAAGTAGATTTTGTTTTTTAAGTACTGTACCAAGACATGTTTACTAGAGCTGAGGAGCTGTTATGTGCATGTGGGCGTGATGGAAAGCAGTAAAGAAAAGAGCTTCCTGATTTCTGGCAGTGTTGTGAAAACAGAAATGAGGGCCTCATGAAGGCATACTTCCTCTTTATCATGCTGTGAAAGGTAGCTTAGCCACATTTCACAGCTCTTCCTTCCAAACAAATGCTGGACAGAACAGAAAAGAAACTTGTCTACCCCCAGTTCCATGATAGTCCTTCAATGGAAACGTCTCATTGTGCTAAATTTCACCGGTGCAAATGGTTGCACTTCATGGTCATCGTGTCTTGCTCGGGTAGGAAGAGGAAACTGTATGACAATACTTCTTGCCCATTTGCTGTATCTGAAAATAGAAAGAATTCTCAGAATTCATCTCACACAATGTAGAGCAGCTGTCAGCCGTTATAAGTGTTGTCATGGTGCAGTGTTTTCTTATTAGAGCAATGAAACCTGATGTATTGAATGTTCTTGTGTGGAATTACAGTTTCTTGTTTTCTCTTTCCCAGGCACTTGGATGCTTGTTGTACAAGCTGTGTTTCTTCACACTTCCATTTGGGGAGAGTCAAGTTGCCATATGTGACGGAACCTTTGCTGTTCCGGACGGTTCAAAATTCTCCTCGAAGTTGCACTGTTTAATCAGTAAGCAGCTTTCATATATTCCCAAGAGATTTCAAATTATTTTGTGGAAGATTGTGTAATTTGAGTGTGTACACAAGGGCTGTGGTGGAGTTTTGATATTAAGTTAGACAATAGCTCCACCCTCTGGTTGTATAGAGGTACTGGACAATTGTATCCCAGCGCCTCTTAAAGAGAT